TCTCCCGGCTCTCTTGGACCGTCTGGAGGTTTCTCGGGCCCCTCTTGGGCCGATTTGGAGCCCTCCTGGGTTTCGAAAAAGAGTTATTGAGGGTTTCTTGGGCCTTCTTGGAACGCTCTTGGGCCGTCTTTGAGCGGTCTAGAGGGTCTCTCGGGCCGTTTTGGGGTGATCTTGGGGTCCTCTTGGACCGCCTTGAAAGGTGTGAAAGACGAAGAGGCGGATATGTTAAACATGCACGTTTTCCAAAGGGAATGGGGCGATTTTTGCTAGTGGGAGCCCTCTGGGGACGCCGCGTAGGGGCCTCTTAGGGACCTCCTGGGGCGTTTTGAAGGCCTGTTGGGCCGTCTTGAGGCCATCGTAGGCGCTTGGGAGTGATATTTCGGCGTCTCCCGGCTCTCTTGGACCGTCTGGAGGGCTTCTCGGGCCCCTCTTGGACCGATTTGGAGCCCTCCTGGGTTCCGAAAAAAAGTTCTTGAGGGTTTCTTGGGCCTTTTTGGAGCGTTCTTGGGCCGTCTTTGAGCGGTCTTGGGGGTCTCTCCGGCCGTCTTGGGGTGATTTTGGGGGCCTCTTGGACCGCCTTGAAAGGTGCGAAAGACGAAGAGGCGGATATGATAAAAATGCACGTTTTCCAAGGGGAATGGGCAGATTTGTTGCTTGCGGGAGCCCTCTTGGGACGCCGCTTAGGGGCCTCTTAGGGACTTCCTGGGGCGTTTTGAAGGCCTGTTGGGCCGTCTTGAGGCCATCGTAGGCGCTTGGGAGTGATATTTCGGCGTCTCCCGGCTCTCTTGGACCGTCTGGAGGGTTTCTCGGACCCCTCTTGGACCGATTCGGAGCCCTCCTAGGTTCCGAAAAATAGTTCTTGAGGGTTTCTTGAGCCTTTTTGGAGCGTTGGGCCGTCTTTGAGCGGTCTTGAGGGTCTCTCGGGCTGTCTTGGGGTGATCTTGGGGGCCTCTTGGACCGCCTTGAAAGGTGTGAAAGACGAAGAGGCGGATATGATAAACATGCACGTTTTCCAAGGGGAATGGGTCGATTTTTGCTTGTGGGAGCCCTCTTGGGGCTCCGCTTAGGGACCTTTTGGGGCGTTTTGAAGGCCTGTTGGGCCGTCTTGAGGCCATCGCAGGCGCTTGGGGGTGATATTTCGGCGTCTCCCGGCTCTCTTGGACCGTCTGAAGGGCTTCTCGGGCCTCTCATGGACTGTTTGGAGCCCTCCTGGGCTCCGAAAAAGGACCTTGCCGGGAGTCTGCCGGGACCTGGCCGGGAGTCTGCCGGGACCTTGCCGGGGTACTTTTCGTCCGGGGACCCCCAGGGCCCGCCCGCCCCGCGCGCGCGAACTAGAAATACTGTTGAGCAGTTACCGGAGATCTTAGTACGCCTCTGGCCCGTTGGGCCGGCGAATTACTGCGCACACGAACTGCGCCGTAAGAAATACGAAGAACGACAATGGGGACGCAGCTATAGATCAAGACGACTACATCCAACAATTCCGACCCGTAAGTCGCCTTGAAGTTACCGGCGAGCCCGCAGAAGCGAAGGCAGCGAAAGTTGTTTCTGACATGTTTGTCAGCCTCCGCGGGGCCCTAAGACATGCACCCCCCCCCACCCGGATCCGGTGAATGGCATACGTGACCTCCTTCCAGAGGACGCAAGAATCCGCGAATATCCTGACGTCGGTTAAGCGTTGCAGCGAGGAAACCATTAGCGATCTAGAAACGACAACGTTCCTTCGGATGCGCCCCGCGGTCGCATCCATTGCGAGTTTCGCCCAGTGGCAAAAACGCGGTGCATTTTTGCGACGTGACTTGCAAGACTCATCGACTTCAGGCGCGGTCTAGCCACGCAGCAGAAGCGCTGGCGGTCGCTCGCAAACTTAGACGACTATATCCTACACTCGTCACCCTACATGAGATACAAGCCAGCTCGCGATCATTCAAATCAATCGGAAACGTGCGAGAAATAGGTGGCCTGGCGATTACGGCATCCTGGACTACTGACGTTGAAGATTCCACCGAGCGAAAAATATTCGATCATTGCTGTTGGATGCCTGACGTAATGCAGATAGGTTTTGCACATAGTGCGCAGTGGTGAACACGCGGGATATGACAGCTGATGGCCACACCACCGGGGGCATTGATAGGGACTTATTGTTTGCAGTGGCGTAGGGAAACCAGTCCTTCGAACAGTACGTCAAATCATTCGTCCTGTCCAGAGGCTATCCATAAACGAAGCTGATTTGTTTAAACTTGAGTGAGATTGGAAAGAGCGCGTTCTGTGGTCGCTTGAAGGGGGGGGTTGGAACCAGACCCCCCCCTCCTCCCTCCCTCTCCTCTCTCCTCGGGCCGGCGCTTGCGTCGGCGGCGGCCGGCGGCGGCCAGCGGCGGCGGCGGGGACGACGATTTCCCTGTCTGGGCGGGCCAGCGCCAGCGCCTGCGGCGGCGGGCGGCGGCGGTGGGGAGCGTCGACGAGGACGACGGTGGTGGTTGTGGTGGTGGTGGTGGTGGCGGTGGTGGTGGTGTGGTGGTTTGTTGTGGTGGTGGTGGTTGTGGTGGTGGTGGTTTGGTGGTGGTGTGGTGGTGGTTGGTGGTGGTGGTGGTGGTGGTGGCTGTGGTGGGGGGTTGTGGTGGTGGTGGTGGTGGTTTGGTGCTGGTGTGGTGGTGGTTTGTGGTGGTGGTGGTGGTGGGTTGTGGTGGTGGCGGTGGTTTGTGGAGGTAGTTTGTGGTTGTGGTGGTGGGTTGTGCTGCTGGTAGTGGTGGTGGTTGTGGCGGTGGTGGTGGTGGTATGGTAGATTGTGGTGGTGGTGGTAGTGGTGGTGGGTTTCTGTGGTGGTGGTGGTGATGGTGAATTGTAATGGTGGTTGTGGTGATGGTGGTAGCTGTGGTGGTGGTAGAGGTGTTTGTGTGGTGGGTTGGTGGTGGTGGTTTGAGTCGGTGGTGGTGGTGGTAGTGGTGGCAGTGGTGGTAGTGGTGGTAATCGTCGATGCGTCCCCGCCGTCGCCGGCGCCAGCGCCAATGGATGGGGGGGGGGGTGACCCCCCCCCTCGTTGGGCTGCCTCTGGTCCTCGTCGCTGCGTCCCCGCCGTCGTCGCTGCGTTGGCGCCGAGGGGGGGGGGTTGAACCCCCCCCCCTTGTTTTGATCGACGGTGCCGAGTGTTGGGGGGGGACCACCCCCCGGTTTCAAACGCGCCGCCGAATGTTCCCAAGGCAAGCGCCTGTGAAACGTGCTCTCTCAAAGATTGCGCATCGATTTGTATGTGGGCTATCGCGCGTCGTTTGGTAGCCCCTTTTTGCATTTGCGGGCGACTTCCAGTGCAGGCACCAAAGTATGCTTGCAAGCGAGCTTCCACAGTCTCTTTTCGTTTCATCTAAGACAACCGAATCGCAGGCTCGAATGTGTAGGTGGAGGTAGCTCCCGACGTCCAGCCTCGAGACCTGTCGGCTTTGTATGTCCGACTGGCATGGGTCCGTTTGGGTTCATTGTTTCGGGTTTCGTAGTCATTGGCCCTCCCAGGGATTACGTGCACCAACAGATGTCGGGCCTTTAAGCCCGACGCACTGACTGAGTCGTGCGCACTTTGAGCTAGCACAGGATAGCCGAGCGCAGCGCGCTCCATCCCCTCCAGGATGTCCGACGGAGGCGCACGGGGGGGCGACGCGCGCTTTTCGGCTATGTGGTTCAAGGTGTCCACACCCTGAATGAAGGCGCACCGCTGTGCGCCCTATCCGAGAGGAGAAGGTATGTTTGCTGCCACCTTACATCCCATGTCATCCCACACTACTGACATCGATGTTTTACAAAGTTTCGTGTATGTGGTATGTGTTGTGTGACGTTACCACGTTTCTTTCGAGTAACCCCCTTTTTCGTTCGATCGAGGAAAAAGGCGTTCGAGTGTTATGGGTTCATTTGGAGTTTCAGGAGGTTCCATAGATTTCTGGAGGCCTTCTGGGATTATGCCTCCAGAGACCTCGTGGCGCGGTGGCCAAACAGTGCGGTGACTTGGGGGGCCCCCAGACGGCGCGGTGACAACACAACGCGGTGAGCCAGCGGGTGTTCAGGTTGCATGGTTCTGGGAGTTGGGCCGTTTCCCAGGGATGTTTTAGGCGACGGGGGATTCCGCGGTCCCAAACCGTGCGGCGACAAATTATAGGTGATGTTTTTGGGGGGATTCCAGGGTCACCGCGCGGTCCTTCACCGCGCCGCTTGGGGACCCCACCTCCTCAGGATTCCAGCGACTCAGAAACAATGTCCAGACGGATGGTTTGTCCTGCATGTGTGTTTTTATATATATATATATATATACAAACAAAAAAAATCCAGGACGAGAATTTGAGCTCGGCCGGTTGTTCGGAAAAGTCGGCTCATTGGATGGATGGTCCCATCTCATCCTCATCACCCCCCCCAGGGGCAAGCTGTTGGGTGTGGCAGCAGAGGGTTCCTCGACACGACTGCCACTTAGCTCTCACAGAGAAGATTGCGTGATGGTCTGATTGGGTCGTCTCACAGCACACGCGCTCGGTTCCAAGTCCCTCCCCCCTCCACCTCAGGAGCAACGCTTAAGGGATAAATCGTCTCCAGGAAGGACGAATCGAACCCCAATCGCCCATGGATCGCCGATAGGGACTTGATAGCTCACCCCGCCTGGGACAGCGCGGTGTCGCCATCGATAGTCCATCGCCGATGTGTCGGCGATGTATCCCCTGAACTGGTCCCCCCAACAAAGAGAACGCGAATGAGAATCAAGACACCACTGTGCGTGTGCTCTGTCTTCATGCTCGCCCGATTGGAATCGTGTTGGGACTCTGCTTTAGGGCCTGCTCAGCTACACGAGCACATCGGAGCAAGAATATGATTGAAGCGGTGACGAAGATAACGATGTGCCACCACATCACCCTACCTACCACCCTGGCCGTGTGTCATCATCGGCACTATTTAAGACAAGTTAGGTGCAGAATCTGACCAGCCAATGTCCGTTGATTCCCATCGCCCCCCCCTGGTTCACCGCCCGCAGATTCTAGCCGCGCCGCGGCCGCCCACGCCCCGCACGTCGCGCGCGGGCCCGTGGCCTCCGCGGCGGATGTCGCCGCCGTCCGATGGCGAGCCCAGGCCCACGCGCGGCTATGTCGACGGATGTTGGGACATCTCGAGTCGGACGAGGGGGTCTTGGCCTCCCAGACGAGGTCCCAATAGGTGGGGTCGCAGGATCGTGCCGCATCGCCAATGCATCGCCGATGAGGCTCGATGTGGAGAGCGATGTTCTCCGCGCTGGTGTCGCCGAAGCACCGCCGATGACGCCGAAGCATCGCCGATGCATCGGCGATGCGGCGCGATCCTCCGACCCCCATCTACTCCGATCGCATCCAGGATGCCTCTTACAGGGGGGCTCACGAAATCTGCTGCACTCAGGCGCCTCTCTCGCCGGGAGGAGCCAGAGCAATCAGCCACGTGAGCCGATTTGCTAGCCCCCTACCCACCCACCCCTTTCGTCTGGCCCGGACATCATGCACTCGGGGCACTACAACGCCATCCGCCAGGCGAAGAGCTTGTGTGACGTTCTCGTCGTTGGGGTGCACTCGGATGCGGAGATCGAGGAGAACAAGGCGGTACCTGTCATGCGGCAGGCCGAGCGATACGCCCTCCTCGAGCACATCAAGTGGGTCGACGAGATCGCCCACGACGTGCCCTACTCCCCCGAGATAGCCACTCTGGAGAACTGCAGGGCTGACTTCTGTGTCCACGGCGACGACATGCCGGTCAACGCCCAGGGCGTCTGCGCCTACGACGAGATGCGCCAGAGCGGGCGTTTGAGGATCGTCAAGCGCACGGAGGGGGTGTCCACCACCGATTTGATAGGCCCCACACCGCCGCACTGTTCCCGTGCCGAAGGGGGGGCTGCGATCACCCCTCTCGTCTTCTTCTATGTTTATGTCATCCCATTTACCCACCCATCCCTCATTACTTTCCCCGTCCCACTTTTAGCCTGCTACGACTCAGGAACCTGCCCCATATTGCGCACTCTGCTCCAGCTACAGTCGTCGCAAGAAGGGTCCAGTAGATCCGACTGTTCTTCTCGAGGGTGCTTGAGTTCGCATCGCGATTGCTCAGTGGCCAGCCAGGGGCGCTCAAGATTCAATATGTGGGTTGTGGATGGGTCGCGGGTGAGTCTTGGGGTGGGTTGCGGATGGGTCGCGGGGGGTCTCGGGCCGGGGAGCGGGCGGGACGACACCCAGAACAAACAACAACATCAACAGTAATTCGCCGGCCCAACGGGCCAGAGGCGTGCTAAGATCTCTGGTAACTGCTCAACAATATTTCTAGTTCGCACGCGCGGGGCGGGCCCTGGGGGTCCCCGGACGAAAAGTACCCCGGCAAGGTCCCGGCAAGGTCCCGGCAAGGTCCCGGCAGACTCCCGGCGAGGTCCCGGCAGACTCCCGGCAAGGTCCTTTTTCGGAGCCCAGGAGGGCTCCAAACGGTCCAAGAGAGGCCTGAGAAGCCCTCCAGACGGTCCAAGAGAGCCGGGAGACGCCGAAATATCACTCCCAAACGCCTGCGATGGCCTCAAGACGGCCCAACAGGCCTTCAAGACGCCCCAAGAGGTCCCTAAGCGGCGCCCCAACAGGGCTCCCACAAGCAAAAATCGTCCCATTCCCTTTAGGAAAGCGTGCACGTTTAACATATCCGCTTCTTCGTCTTTCACACCTTTCAAGGCGGTCCAAGAGGCCCCCAAGATCACCCCAAGACGGCCCGAGAGACCCTCGAGACCGCTCAAAGACGGCCCAAGAGCGCTCCAAGAAGGCCCAAGAAACCATCAAGAACTCTTTTTCGGAGCCCAGGAGGGCTCCAAATCGGTCCAAGAGGGGCCCGAGAAGCCCTCCAGACGGTCCAAGAGAGCCGGGAGACGCCGAAATATCACTCCCAAACGCCTGCGATGGCCTCAAGACGGCCCAACAGGCCTTCAAGACGCCCCAAGAGGTCCCTAAGAGGTCCCTAAGCGGCGTCCCAAGAGGGCTCCCACAAGCAAAAATCGTCCCATTCCCTAGGAAAACGTGCATTTTTTACATATCCGCCTCTTCGTCTTTCACACCTTTCAAGGCGGTCCAAGAGGCCCCCAAGATCACCCCAAGACGGCCCGAGAGACCCTCAAGACCGCTCAAAGACGGCCCAAGAGCGCTCCAAGAAGGCCCAAGAAACCCTCAAGAACTCTTTTTCGGAGCCCAGGAGGGCTCCAAATCGGTCCAAGAGGGGCCCGAGAAGCCCTCCAGACGGTCCAAGAGAGCCGGGAGACGCCGAAATATCACTCCCAAACGCCTACGATGGCCTCAAGACGGCCCAACAGGCCTTCAAGACGCCCCAAGAGGTCCCTAAGCGGCGCCCCAAGAGGGCTCCCACAAGCAAAAATCGTCCCATTCCCTTAGGAAAACGTGCATTTTTAACATATCCGCCTCTTCGTCTTTCACACCTTTCAAGGCGGTCCAAGAGGCCCCCAAGATCACCCCAAGACGGCCCGAGAGACCCTCGAGACCGCTCAAAGAAGGCCCAAGAAACCCTCACGACGGTCCAAGAGGCCCCAAGACGGTCCCATGATTGAGGTCCACAGGGGCAACCTGAACGGAAATGTTGAGCCTCCCGCCCAAACACGCCCCCGAAATGCCCCTACAAGCCCCCAAGTAGCCCCACGAAGCCCCCAAGAGAGCCCCAAGAGACCCCCAACAGGCCGCAAGAAAGCCCAAAGAGGCCCCCAAGAGACCCCCAGGAAGCTCCCAGGAGGCCCCCAAGAGGCCAGGCAGACCCCCCCAAGAGACCACCAAGAGGGCCCACCCAGAGCCATCCACGAGGCCTCCCAAAGTTCCCAAGAAGCTCCCGCGAAGCTTCCAAGGGCTCCCAAGACCCCAAGACCCCGCGATGGCACAATACGGGCCGGCGGAATGAGCGAAGCGATTCAATAATAGTAAGAATAATAATGCTACTACTGCTACTAATAATAATAATAATAGTAATTATAATATTAATAATTTTTAAAAATAATAATAATAATTATCCCGGCAAAGCAACCTAACAGCGATGTGTAGGAGCATATCTGGAAGCATCCCCCTTAAGATTCAGATGAGAATCCAGTTGTAGAGTTCTGCTGTTCTCGCAGTCGTAGTCGCATTCGCGATGACAGTCGCAGTGGCCTGCATTAGCCTCAGCCTCAGCCTCAGCCTGCCTCAGCATCAGCCTCAGCCTCAGCTTCAGCCTGCCTCAGCCTCAGCCTCAGCCTGCTCCTGCATCAGCCTCAGTCTGCCTGCAGCCTCGGCCTCAGCCTCAGCCTGCCTCAGCCTGAGCCTGCCTCAGCCTCAGCCTCAGCCTCAGCCTGCCTCAGCATCAGCCAGCCTCAGCCTCAGCCTCAGCCTCAGCCTCAGCCTCAGCCTAGCCTCAGCCTCAGCCTGCTTCAGCCTCAGCCTCAGTCTGCCTTCAGCCTCGGCCTCAGCCTCGCCTGCCTCAGCCTCAGCCTGCATCAGCCTCAGCCTCAGCCTCAGCCTGCCTCAGCCTCAGCCTCAGCCTGCCTCAGCCTCAGCCTGCCTCAGCCTCGCCCTCAGCCTGCTTCAGCCTCAACATCAGTCTGCCTTCAGCCTCGGCCTCAGCCTGCCTCAGCCTCACCCTCAGCCTGCATCAGCCTCAGCCTCAGCCTGCCTCAGCCTCACCCTGCCAGCCTCAGCCTCAGCCTCAGCCTGCCTCAGCATCAGCCTGCCTCAGCCTCAGCCTCAGCCTGCCTCTGCCTCAGCCTCAGCCTGCTTCAGCCTCAGCCTCAGTCTGCCTCGGCCTCGCCTCAGCCTCAGCCTGCCTCACCCTCAGCCTGCATCAGCCTCAGCCTCAGCCTGCCTCAGCATCAGCCTGCCTCAGCCTCAGCCTCAGCCTCAGCCTCAGCCTCAGCCTCAGCCTGCTCAGCCTCAGCCTGAGTTTGCCTGCAGCCTCGGCCTCAGCCTCAGCCTGCCTCAGCCTCAGCCTGCCTCAGCCTCAGCCTCAGCCTCAGCCTGCCTCAGCCTCAGCCTGCCTCAGCCTCAGCCTCAGCCTGCCTCAGCCTCAGCCTCAGCCTTCTTCAGCCTCAGCCTCAGTCTGCCTTCAGCCTCGGCCTCAGCCTCAGCCTGCCTCAGCCTCAGCCTGCATCAGCCTCAGCCTCAGCCTCAGCCTGCCTCAGCAGCCTGCCTCAGCCTCAGCCTCAGCCTGCAGCCTCAGCATCAGTCTGCCTTCAGCCTCGGCTCAGCCTCAGCCTGCCTCAGCCTCACCCTGCATCAGCCTCAGCCTCAGCCTCAGCCTGCTTCAGCATCAGCCTGCCTCAGCCTCAGCCTCAGCCTGCCTCAGCCTCAGCCTCAGCCTGCTTCAGCCTCAGCCTCAGTCTGCCTTCAGCCTCGGCCTCAGCCTCAGCCTGCCTCAGCCTCAGCCTGCATCACCTCAGCCTCAGCCTCAGCCTGCCTCAGCATCAGCCTGCCTCAGCCTCAGCCTGCCTCCTGCCTCAGCCTCAGCCTGCTTCAGCCTCAGCCTCAGTCTGCCTTCAGCCTCGGCCTCAGCCTCAGCCTGCCTCAGCCTCAGCCTCATCAGCCTCAGCCTCAGCCTCAGCCTGCCTCAGCATCAGCCTGCCTCAGCCTCAGCCTCAGCCTGCCTCAGCCTCAGCCTCAGCCTGCTTCAGCCTCAGCCTCAGTCTGCCTTCAGCCTTGGCCTCAGCCTCAGCCTGCCTCAGCCTCAGCCTGCATCAGCCTCAGCCTCAGCCTCAGCCTGCCTCAGCATCAGCCTGCCTCAGCCTCAGCCTCAGCCTGCCTCAGCCTCAGCCTCAGCCTGCTTCAGCCTCAGCCTCAGTCTGCCTTCAGCCTCGGCCTCAGCCTCCGCCTGCCTTCAGCCTCAGCCTGCCTCAGCCTCAGCATCAGCCGGCCTCAACATTCAAAGTGTGGCCCGGGAATGGAGTTCTGGGAGCTCGAAGAACACGAAATGGCCTACAGTTGGCTATGGGCATTCAAAATCATGCCCAGGAATGGAGTTCTGGGAACTCGAACACCACGAAGTGGCCTACAGTTGGCTCCGGGCATCCAAAATGTGGCCCGGGAATGGAGTTCTGGGAACTCGAAGACCACGAAGGGGCCTACAGTTTGGCTCCGGGCATCCAAAATGTGGCCCGGGAATGGAGTTCTGGGAAATTGAACACCACGAAGTGGCCTACAGTTGGCTCCGGGCATTCAGAATGTGGCCCGGGAATGGAGTTCTGGGAAATCGAAGAGTACGAAGTGGCCTACAGTTGGCTCCGGGCATTCAAAATGTGGCCCGGGAATGGAGTTCTGGGAAGTCGAAGAGCACGAAGTGTGTGACTGTTGCATCCGGTTATTCAGAATGTGGCCTGGGAATGGGGTTCTGAGAGGTCGACGAGCACGAAGTGTGTGACTGTTGGAGAAAAACGAGCCCGGCACAGGCCCGGCCGGCAACTCCCAACGCCTGCCCGGACCCCCCTGTGGAGTGATCTGTGAGCTCTTTTGAGTCAACTAGAAACCTATCAGTCTACGCTGTTAGGTAATAAGAATAATAATAATAATAGTAATAAGAGTCATAATAATACTAATAATAATAATAATACTAATAATAATAATAATAATAGTAATAGCAACAACAACAATAATAATACTAACAACAGCAACAACGACAACAGCAGCAGCAACAACAACAGCAACAGCAACAACCACAACAACAACAACCACAACAACAATATGCCGCACCGCGAAAGCCTTCTTCAGCCACGCACTCAGGGACGCTGAATGACCGTTCGGCCCCTTCACTCTGATATGCCAGATCCAGCTGGCACTCCCACATTGCACAAGTCGCAACACGCAGTTGAACATCTTTAGTTGCGTCAATGGCCTCGTGCGTACGCACATGGCGGTGGACCGTGGGATTCGTCATCCGGACTGTTGCCATGAAGTTGTATCTGGGTTTCGCCACGAAGAACCCGATATGGAGGGCGCATAGAATCTAAGATCACGGCGAGGGGCATGGCCCCTAGCAGTGTGATCTCGATGGCCCGTGTGATCGGGGAGATGGGCCTCGGCAACCGCTCGGCCTTGACTTCGCAGGGCGGCACCCATGGGACGATGGCGGGGATCTGCCGTTCTGGACGGGCCCCGAGCACGGGACCGAGAGCTGGTGGTCGCACCGCTGGCGTTCGGGTGGTGCGTTTCCCGCCGCCGCGGGCTCGGTGTGTGGCAGCGGGCAGCCAGCCACGCCCATATCTCTCTGGGGCGATCGCGGATCCTCGTCGTCGCCCGCTTCCGTTCTCCTCCAGTGGATGGAGCAGCAGGCAGGAGGCAGGAGGCAGGAGAGGGCGGAGGGCCGCACGTGGCGCGGCGAGACGGCCTGGGCTCGGACGCGCGAGGTCGCTTGCTCACCCTCTCCCGGCACCAGCACACGGAGGATATCTGGAAGGAGTTGCGCGCGTGGGCCCGAGGGGGAGGGAGGAGGGCGAGACGAGGGTTGGGGGATGGAGGGAGTGAGGGAAAAAGAGGAAGACGGGGAGGTGGGGAAGGAGGGAGGAAGGAAGGAAGGACGCACACGGAAAAGATCGGCAAGTAGTTGCTTGCGCGGGCCGAGGAGACTTTGCGATATGTTGTTTACAAAGTGCGTGCAGGTTCCCAGTGGCAGGCAGGAAGAGGAGGTCGGGGATGGGGCGACCGCCAAGTTTCTAGGTTATCCTTCCTGTTCGAACAGAGCGAGCCTTGTTATGGGCCGATATCCGCCATCAGTTTGTGCCCTTCAGCTATCTATTATCTTCCAGGGTTTGGGAAGGAGGTCAAGCACATTCAGGTCCAGTTTCCGTGTGCTGTTCGTCCATCTTTTCGACGTTCGGCTTCTGGGTGGACATGTCTTAGCTGCTTGTGTTTGAGTGTTATGGTTTCCCACCATTGCTATTTCTAAGTGGACCAAGCGCATTCAGGTCCATCATCCTCATCTTCCTCATCCCATCCCCTCTGGCTAAATTGCCAGGATACCCAGCATCTATATTCAACCTCTAGCCTCTAATTAGCCTGCAGCAGTTGTTCCACCTTCAGGGGGGGTCTAACCGACACTGGTCACGCATTGACGGTGCCCGATCAGTGAAAGAGCCACGCTTTGGTTGGTTTGGCTCGGCTCGAGCGCCTTGGGCGACGTTTGCACGCAGAGCCTTTATCGCTTGCCCTCCCTCCCGTCCTGTGCCTGCCATCCCTCCAGTATCACCTCCCCGCCCCCGTACCCCATCCCCTTCCACCCGTCATCACCCATCCACTTCATCCTACCCGTTCCAAGCGGTGTCCTTCTTCATCCTAGATGTGTCCTGCTCCTCATCCTCTTCCTCGTCTTTCCCCCCTGGCCGTCACGATCCTCGCCTATGTTATCGGAGGGGGGGCATGGCCCAAAGCAGGCGCGTTCCGCTGCAGGCGCCCAGAATGACCTCACGCCTTCAGTCTCCAGCCTCTTCCACATTCTCTCACCCACCATCATCATCATCATCATCATCATCATCATCATCATCATCATCATCACCAGCATCATCATGATCACAAGCATCAGCATCACCATCACCGTCAGCACCATCATCATCATCATCATCATCATCATCATCATGGCCACCACCACCACCACCATCCACATCCGCTTTTGTGTCATAGTTTTCCTTCGTGGTCCACCCCTCGTCTTCCATATCTTCTTCATCATGTCATCCCTTCGCACCCACCCATCCCAGTCCCCCCTATTCCCTTCCCTGGCCATCCCCGCCCACCCACCCACCAACCCGCTTCGGGTACTTCATCAGGCGTTGCCGTTTGGGTTGGCCGCGCAGCTGCAGCCTAATCCCACAGTGAGCACCAGCGACGTTGGTCGCGATCGAGACCGCGCTCGTCCGCGCGGCACCGCCATGCGCGGCAACAACGCGCCGAAGCGACATTTCGCCCGCAACGTCAGAGGAATTCGGAACGCGCTGACAGCCACCACAGGCAAGAAGACTGGCCACGTGACATGCAGGAGATGTTCCCAGTGGTGGCAGCACAACCATTACAGGACATGGGCTCCAAGTGCACACGCAGCGCCATGCTCACCAGACCCACGCAGCCCAAAGAGAAGAAGCGCTAGGAGGTTTTGCCGCCGCCGAAACTGAACCCCATCACCCCGCTTGCAGCAAGGGCACGGGCCCCGAATAGCGGTCCCTGGCCTTCATGCACACCCGCGGTTTTGCTGCAGCTGTAGCGGCTGGCCTTCATAGCGCGCAGACGGCCAAGCACCATTCCGCCTCTGTCTACGCGACGAAGTTGGCGGCGGAGGAGGCGGCCGACAAGGCCAGGATGGCGTTCACGGAAAAGGTGGCTGCGGAGCTGGAGGCAGAGAGCGTCGGAGGCCACCCAGACGGTGGGCAAGGAGGAATCAAAAAGAATCTTCGAGCAACGGGTCAGCGGCGAGGTCAGCAGCTTTGCACAGGACCAGCTCGCGGCCGACATCGCGAGGGGGCTGGACCTCACGGGCGATGAGCTGGGCGAGCAGGGCCGCCCAGGCGCCGGGCTGCCAAGCAGAATGTAGCCAAGCACTTCCAGGAGGTTTCGCAAACCTTCCCGGACCAGCTGCGCGACCGCTAGCGGCCGCCAAGCCCACGGATGGCACTCGAGCCACGCAAAGTCACCCAGAAGGCGGCGAGAAAACGGAATGCTGATGGCGGTGAACATGCCGCCGCTTCGCCGAGGGCGATTGGAGCACCTACCTCCCGACGCAGCAGTTGGGGCCAACAGCGGAAGCAGTTTGACGATCCAACCGCCGACCCCAGCGGAGCCGAGGTGCACCCCCAAAGGCGCGAGCTGACGGAGGCGAAGGCGAAGGCGCGCCAGCGGCCGCGGCTGGCGCCGAGGGACTGGAGCGGGGGACCCGCCGCGCAAGAGTTGGCGGCGGCATGACCCGGGATCGGTTTTCGCACTGCGCCGGCATCATCATTCGGGGGCCCACTGCGCGACCGTCGTCTTCGAAACAAAGCTTCGCGCGAAGCTTCGACGCCTGCGCGATCTAGGAGACGCGCGCGGCCGAGGACAACCTCGCGGGCGCGCGACAGGACCCGATGAACTTCATTTACAAATGAAAACTCGCCGCTGTCGAGGCCGGCGCGCCATCGGAGCCCAGCAACTACGGGGGCGCCGCGGCAGTCATTGAGGGGCACTTCCGCGCGCCAGGTTTTATTATCAGTCAAAGAAGGCCCGCCGCAGACTCGCGCGCCCGCGCGGACGCGCAGGCGGGGCAGTGGACGGCAGACCCCCCCATTGCGCGCTTGGGCACCCGGCGCGCGGCATCTCGGGGGCGCGACGCCCCGCGCGTTTAGCGTCTATGCGGACCGCTGGAAGTCGCCGCGGGGGGGCGCCAAAGCGGCGAGCTGACCCCCTCGCGGTTTTCACCAATTGCCCCGACGGCGCCTGGATCGTTCGCGGAAGCTTCAACGAGGAGCCCGAGGCCACGCGGCCACCGGGCTCGCCGACGGCCATCAGGGTTTCAGAAGCTTCCGTGCCAGACGACCAGAACGCGCGCATCTTCGGGGACTGACCCCAGCGCGCAGGCGTTGCGCCGGGCCGGCGGCGCAGGTCGGCGCCTTTTCTGGCGAGTGGAATCAGTTGGCGACGCCCCCTGGAGACCGCCGCGCATTAGTTCGAAGCCCATCGTCTGCGCCGATGCCCCGGCGCGAGGGCGCAGGCGCTTCCAGCTGCCCAAGGCGCCAAGTCCCACCGCGAGCAAGAGACCGGGGATGGCGCTGCACGCGAAGGCCGAAGCGCAAGACCAGACAAGCGCGGCGCATCAGGAAGCGGAGCGCAGCGCCCACATCCAGGGCAGCTTTGGGCGCCAACCCAACTACGCAAGCGCTGGGGGGCGCTAGCTCCAGAGGAATGCCCGCAGCGTTCCCCTGGATCCCACGGCGCGCCCCCCGACGCAGAAGGCGCGCGCCTCGGGGCAGGGGCCGGCGCGAAAAAGAGAGACGGCAGCATTGGTTCATCGTCGCCGCGCGCCACGCCGAAGCCTGGCTTCGCGCCAGCCACTGCGCCGCCGAGCGCTTCGGGCATATTGGCTGCGCGCGAGGTCCGGCGTCGCCCGCTGCTCTGTCAGACGGCGACGGCCAGCGTCATCGCAGCCGCCCGCGGCGCGACGCCGATGAGACTGGCGCTCGCCACTCGCGGGCCTGAACCGCCCGACGGCGCCAGGAAGCGCGCAGCCCAGGGAAGCGCGCCCCCCGGGCCGGGGGCGACGGGGGCGCGATGCGCCGGCGGCAGGAGGAGTCACTCGGCCGCGCCCGCCCTGGCCGTTCCAGCACGGGGTCGGACAGGCCAGGCGGGGCCCCCCACCCCGCGCCCCCTGAACGGCCCTCGCGGCAACGGACCGCGGGGGCCACCGAACGCCCGGCGACGCGGAGGGGTCAGAGGTTCAGGGGTAAGGGCAAGAAGAAGTGGACCTACTTGGGCAGAAAAGAAGAGCAGCCGCTGGCATCAAGACCGCGGCCAAACGGCACGCCCGGCGAGCAGCGGGGCCGACCCAATTGGCGTCGGACATCAGTGAGGCGCCGCCAGCGCCAGCCAGCGTTCGGCCAGCCTGGTGGGCCCCAAGTGCGCGGACGAGTCGGGCGCGCCATTCCGCCAGACCACCTCGGCACGCTGAAGTCGCCACGCCGCCCGGGGCGCCGGGTCGGCCCGCGGGACAGTCAGGGTAAATTTCTGGCATCAGAAGGTAGCCTTCGCCCTGCCCCTCCCCGCTTCGCTCCGCCCGCCTTCGGCGCGGCCCTCTACTCGGCCCGCGCGGCGGCCTGCCGCTCGCGCCCCAGGGAGCGGGGCGTGGCTGGAAGACCCGCGGACGACGATCGCAGGGCACCCCCTGCGTTGTTTCCCGCGGCGTCGCCCCCGCCCAGGCCCAGCCAGAAAATCGCCCCGGCGGCCCTCGGGGCAAAGCTCGAAGAAAGTTCGCATGGCCAGAACGCACAACACATCAGCCAAAACATGTTCATGATACCGGATGAAAACCTAATCAATTGTTTTTAGGACTACAAGGCAATAGGGCCATGGGGCCATAGGGCAATTGAACTGCACGGCTATGGGGCCATAGGACTAGGTCTATAGGGCTATAGGGCCATAGGGCTGTAGGACTATAGGGTTCCTGGGGCGATGGGGCTATAGGGCCATAGGGCTATAAGTCTATAGGGCTATGGGGCTACAGGGCTATAGGGATACAGGGCAATAGGGATATAGGGCTATGGGGCTATGGGGCTATAGGCACACAGATTTTGATAAGGCCTTACGGCCAGTGCCGCCGACCCTGGATACCTCGGCCCTCGAGGGTGACGGGATGCGTGGTAGGACGTCGGAGGTAAATGAAGACGTGGCGGAGGAGGAGGCGGAGGAGGAGGAGGAGGAGGA